CTAAGTAGAAGAAAAAAATAATAAGGATCAGAGTGAAAATCAATTAAATAGAAAATAATGGGGGGAAGGGGGAATCTTTATGGCCTTGAATTAGGCAAAGATTTCTTTGGTACAACACCAAAAGTACAATTCATAAAAGATTAAATTGATAAACTGAACTTAATTAAAATTTAAAACTTCTGACCATCAAAGATACTGTTAAGAGAATGTAAGATGAGCATTGTAAGACAAGCAATAGATTGAAAGTAAATATTTGCAAATTATGTATCTGATAAAGGACTTGTATCCAGAAAATACAAAATCTCAAAACTCAATAAAGAGAAAAATGGGCCAAGAAATGTAAACAGGAACTTGAACAAAGAAGATATATGGATGGTAAATAAGCACTCATTGCAAGAAGCCGGACAAAAAAGAGAACCATTTATATAAAATTCTAAAAATGCAAACTAATCCATAGGGTCAGAGAGCTGTCTCTAGTTATCTGGAGAAGGGGAATAAGGGTGGAGGGAGGGACCAGAGGAAGAAATGGTTTTACAGGTCTACATATGTAAAAAAAAAATAAATGAACAATTTTACACTGTAAATGTGTGCAGACTACCGTATGTCAATTATACTCAACAGAGCTATTTTTAAAATGATCACCCAAAACTGCAAAGTGTAGACAATTTAAGATAACAATCAAAAAGGAAGAACATTCTCCCTGCCATGTGAGGACACAGAGAGAAGGTGGCCGTCTGCAAGCCAAGAAGACAGTCCCCCCAGAACCAAACTTGCCAACATCTTGATCTTGGGCTTCCCAGCCCCCAGAATTAACATTTACACTCAGGAAAAAAATCCTTGTGGAGGGGCCACAACATGGAAGGAACATAGTCCCTGAGTCACTGCTTGGAGCTGCCCAGGAGAGCAATCCTCCCAGAAACATCAGTGATGGACTATTGGGTGGGTGACACATACACTCTCATATAACCAACTTCAGGACTGTTTGTTACATAGCAGTTAGCCTAATTAGCTACCTAATGAATGCAGATATTTAAGTTATCTGTCAGAGAATAGATGATCTTTTTCATCATGGGGGGGGGCAGAATATAATCTGCAATTTATGAAGGATTACAGGCTTTAAGCAGTCATGATTTTACACTATTCCAGACACAATCCTTTATTTGGTAAAAGGAGGAAAAGGGGCATATGACATAGGTATGAAATCAAGCAAGGGGGAAAAAATGAACACAGTGAAGCCCTGAAGAACAGGCATTTAACATTAACATCACTTCTTAGTTAAATTCAGCCAACCTGAAATATCTCATAATGACCATTATTATTATTATTTTGTTTTTCCAATTTGGCCCGCCCCACTCCCAGGTGGGATCAGGTGCTCCCCTCACACCATAGCCCCCCGCAGAATACATTTTTCTAGCATGCCACAGGTATACCGGTACTTCAATGGCTTAGCTGCCCACTAGAATACTAGATGAACAGCTCCATCAGAATAGGGACTGTGTCTTCTGATGTTACACAATGTGGTCAAATGTAGGTGCTTTGAAGTCTGAGAGCCTGGCTCCCTATCCTAAGCTGTGCTATTCACCTACTGTGTAGCCTCAGAAAGTTACTTAATCTCCTTGATGTCCAGTTTTGTAAACTACAACACAGCGCTAATAGGGCATATATGAGGACTCAAAGTGACTTTATCCAAACCTTGGCCTCCACGGCCCTGCATCTTTCACCTGATTACCACTCTACCTTCACGGAGTCCTCTCCTTCCAGCTGTCAGTACTCAGCCACAAGGACCATTCCTCAGCTCCAATAAATCCACGCACCTCCACGGAGTAGCCTTCTTACTACTAACTTAGGGACCTCTGGTTACTCTGTGTCTCAGCATCCTGTTGCTCCCTTCTTTCCACCAAACAAAACCCATTCAACAAATAGTTCTTAAGGGCCTACTGTACACCGGGCCCTGTTCTAGATTCTGAGGATACAACGGTGATTACAACATTGATGGAGTAGACAATCTAGTGGGGGAAGACAGGCCATAAACAAAGGAGTAAAATATGGAGTGCATTAGTTAAATGGTCACAAATGCTGTGGAGAAAGAAAAAAAAAAGAACTTGTGAAAGGGGGAATGGGAGTTGCAAAAGTGTGTGTGTGGTGGGTGGGGGGGGGGGATGATTTTAAATCCTGGGTTTAGTGAAGCCTCGTTGAGAATAAGATTTGAGTCAAGAAGTGAAGGAGGCCCTGACCGGTTTGGCTCAGTGGATAGAGCGTCAGCCTGCGGACCGAAGGGTCCCAGGTTCGATTCTGGTCAAGAGCATGTACCTTGGTTGCGGGCACATCCCCGGTAGGGGGTACGCAGGAGGCAACTGATCGATGTTTCTCTCTCATCGATGTTTCTAACTCTCTATCCCTCTCCCTTCCTCTCTGTAAAAAAAACAATAAAATATTTTTTTTAAAAAAAAGAAGTGAAGGAGGTCAGAGAGAACAATACAGCTATGCGGGCTAGACAGGGGGTATTGCAGGCAGAGGAAACAGCCAGTCCAAAGGTCCTCAAACAGCAAAGAAGCTAGTTTGGCTGTGAAAGTATGAGAAAGAAGAGCAGCAGATAAGATTAAAAAGGTGTCAGGATGGGGAACTGAAGAGGACCAGATGGGGTAAACTCTGGGGGCCACTTCCACTCAGAAGGGACGGGAAGCCACTGAGATCTGATTTACATTCTGAAACCTGTGATTAGCTTGGTAATGCTTTTTATGTCCTGCCCCACTGCCCAGTAGATAAGCATAGGAACCACAGCCCTCCTGTGCGTTAAACTCCAGCGGCTAGCACGTTGCAGGCACTCAGTAAATATTTACTAGATGAATGTAACATGTTTACTGATACAAAATAAGCATTCCATAAATGGTATTATCATCTGGCACCCCAGAGTCCAGCACAGTGGAAGGCATATGGTAAAAGCTTGTTTGAGTAAATGAACAAGTAATTTTGTGAAGTTATTGAAAATCTGTATTTAAAACATATGAGTAATGACAAATGAATCAATTGCTTTCACCTTGTACCTTACTTATTAAGACACAACTGATTCCATTTCTGAGCTTTGCATTAAACTTTCACCTTATGCTACCAAGAATAATACCCTTGTGACTCAGTTCTCTAAACAGACTGCAATATCCAGCAAACACAATGAATACTAACGCACTGAAATGCTTGTAAAATGTTTAACTGGGTAAACTTATTCACCTCACTTTTTAATAAAACAATCTTAATATATACAAGACCAAGTTGACTCAAAGTGTGGTTTGATTTTGACTCTTGTTGAATCCCAATAAGGATCCTTAATTCAAACATGTGCATAAAGAACTAAGATTTTCCTTTTTCTTTCCTTTATTTTTTTAACTCCTTTGGCTTATCCAGTCTTCACTATGAAAAAAAAAACTTAATAAAGATTAGTTACACCTGTTTCCATCACCCTAGGTGTGGGTGGGCGGGAATAAGGCCCTTGGGAGTCTCAGCAGAGTTTTGCAGAAAGAAAACTCGAGGAATTATGCATTAAAGTTTAAAAACACATAGAATGTTCCATCTCATAAACGCGAACACTCTCCCCGGAGTTTACACTGCCTCAACGGCGGCGACCCCAGAGGTAACCAATTGTAATCCCCGCCCCTCAACGTGGTCCAGCCTTTCCGAGCACAGCCACTTCACATCGGCAAGGGGGACCCCGGCCCTAAGGACACTCTTAGAAAAAAAAAAAAACATATGAAAGTTGCCTGAAATCACACAAACTTTTAAAAAGAAAAGACTGACGCCAAAGTTTTGAGCGACCAGAAAGAACCTGCTCGGTTTGGCTGGGGCTTGCTGGTGCTTGTGCACAACCGTGCCTGCTGGCAGCGCGCTCCGACGCTCCCCGCCGCTAGGGGAGGGGCAGAGAACAACTTTCGGAAATAACAGGCGCGCACAAAGGCAAATGCTACCCGGACTCCCCAACCTCCTCAAATAAGGGGACTCGTGTGGTTGCGAGCAGCACTGATTCCCCGCAAGTTCCCCGCCGCCCGCTTTTTTTTCTTTTTTTCCACCAGAAGAAAAATAACCTGAGGAGGAGAAGGTGCTACCGTCAGACCCTCAAGGCAATTTCAGACAACAAAGACCCCAAGCAATCAAAATGGAATTAGAATC